CCGTAGAAATGGCAACTTGAACCTCCTCGAATGTATCACCGCAGAGTCAACCAACGCGACCATCTACATCAATCCTGTACCCATCAGGTGCACACTTCATGCCAGATGCAACAAACTGCAAGAGGAGCTCTAACGGAGCATCGTCACCTGGTTCCTCTTCATTATCTTCAGGTACTGACTCAGTAACAACCTCCGTGTCTTGAGTGACAGCCTCCGCATCTTCGCTAGCAGGCTGACGACGTAGTTGGATGCACCTCCCACATGTCTGGAGCAGTTTGTGGCAAGTCACGAAGCATCGCCGGGCTTCAAGACTTGTCCAGACTCTCATAATGACAGGCTTGAACATGTCAGGTCCATGCACCAGCTGTACCAATGAAAAAGGCCCTGCACCCTGCATACATGTGGTCTACTTTGCGAGATCATGAAACTAATCTCATCCTTGGTAGACATTATGATGCCAGGCCTTGTTGAGGAGCTTGTAAGGCCTCGATGAACCACCGCACAGAGCGATCGCCGATCACGGAGCGTTGGTTTTGTCACGTCAAGTCGAAGGTCATCTGGGGTCTTTCCAGCCGTGAGTTGTGATAGAGTTTCTGAAACAATATCTTTGTGCTGCAGCTCCTTTATAGCCAGTTTGAGGGATCGTTGAATGCCGACGTCGCAGGGCTGTGCAACACCAGTCTGTACCGGCAGGGACAAAACAATAATGGATCCAAGGTGGTTGACATCAAGCCAGGTGCGAAATGCGATAGAGCGATGAATTACCCAGCAATCGAGCTGCAGAATGCATGGTTGATCAAGTGGGACACCTTGCTGCTGTTTCTTCGCCATCCAGAATGGTACCAGAATCCCATTAATGGGCCTTTCAGCAAGATCGGACGTCTCAAGGAATGCACCAGGGCCTTGCAGCATCATATCCCATCCAAGTGTCTGCAAACGCATGAGTTATTTTTCGTCAACAGCAGTACTAAGCTCGATATCTGCCCTATCAAGGCCGCAGTGTGCCAACCAATTATATGCTACAGACCAAATTTGTTTTGAGGCAACTGCACGGCCTACATCATGCCAATAGGTAAGGACCCAGCATGGCAAAATTCCCGGAAAACGTGGGTCACACACGGACTTCGCTCCGTCGTGTACAGCCTGTTCAAATGTGCCCAGAAGTCGAGATGACAAATGGAGAGGTGGGATGGAGTGTTAGAAGAAGCTGCTAGCGAGATTGGAGGTGTTGCATTCGACGGAGGAGAAAAACTTGCAGATATCAAGTTCACCAAGCGCAGGATCGAAATCAGGAAGAGTTGTAGAGTCAACAAGAGCCGAGACAGGCAGGTTTGGAGAGGAATGAAACCGGAAAAGCAAGGGGGTAGTTTGAGAAGTCGATCTTTCTGTTCCTCCGGAATGATGCTCGTAGAAATATCAATAGCCTGTAGGCCTGTGGGCACGTCTGAAGCGAGGTTGCTGTGAGGAAACATGATGGGTGATATCTAAGACACAAACTGTGGGACACTTACCTAGAAACAAACTAACTATTGGCTGTCAATAGAGCAGCCTTCAAGCCAACAGAGAAGTAGTGCAAATCAAAGATTATCCATGTCACAGAGGCATCGCCGCCAGAGCAGACATTTGACGCAGTCAACGAACCTAAATTAGGTTCGTCACATGTCACAATGGCCAACGAACATGCTACAAATGATTACATAAGATTGCGGAGATTTTCACACGAACCTAAGGTCGAAATGATACAGTATGCCCTTCTGGAGGTGAATTGAATGTGCTTGGGTGGGGAATTGATGGGCCATAGAGTGGTGCGTGTGGGGATGCCAAAATGGTTGTTTGAGTGGATGACAGTGAGGCTTGGGTGTGGGACCATGCAGATGGTGCCACTCGAGATCAAATAGAGCTGGGAGTATTTTGGGAGGGGGAAGCGAATGTTTGATTGACTTCTGTGGTGCAAGTCCTCAATATTTTCATGGTGCTGGTTCTTGTCCGTGTCTTGGCAGTACCAGGTGCTGAAGTCTCGGTGGTCACAGTAGTCTTTGTTTCACACACTTCAAGTGATGTGACTTTGTGGGAATGTGTGAGAGGCGCTGCCAGTGTCAACCAGTCAGATGTATACATAATATTCATTATATATATCTTACCATCTGCCTCAGGATCTTCAGATGAACTGTGATGCATGACACTTGCTCAATTGACAAGTAAGTGGCCTAGAAACGCTAGATCAGTATCATATCACGTGAATCTGTTGAACAGCGCATCAATCACTTGCAAATTGAGAATAATTGAGAATCAAAACATTGGAAAATGATGACAAGCCGTAGTTCATGCACATGCCATCGCACTGGACTAGTGTCTACAAAAATTCGACATGTTGTGTCCTCATGCGATCCTCGTCGTCGGGGCTCTGGGCCTACTCAGGAGGTACTCAGGCCAAGAAAAATTGCTGAATGAGCAGCAAGTGCTATAGAACAGTGGAGGGCTCAACTGCAAGGTATGTAGTGACTATTGCTACTCAATAATAATTATATGATTCCAATGACTTACCTCAGAAATGTCTGCTGATCAATGGCGTGCCCTAGAGGCACTGCGTGACCATGGCGATGTCACAGATGATAATGCCCAGGTGGATGACGATGAGTCCTACGGTGCCTGGGATGTTCTCAATGGAACCCAGCCACTCGATATAAGTCATGGAGGGGGAGAACTGCAGGAACTCACCCATGGGATTGCTGGTGATTTTTGGAATGCATAAGTCCAATTTGAAGGTAAAAGATGGCTCACTGCATACCTTGAAGCCATAGTAGACAGTCAGTTTGTCGTAAAGACTACCAGTCACGATGCGATCGAACACAATGTCGGATCGAGGTGTTTGACTACCAAATGCCAGCACTAATTACAGCATACCTTACATGGAGTCTGGAGAGAGATGAGAAATGTGGAATGGGATTTTTTGAGAGGCAGAAAGATGTTGATGCTGATGACGTCAATGCTGGCCAAGTGTTTATCAAAGTTGTTGATATACATCATGAGTATTGAATGTTTATTTACTTTGCTTCGATTACAAAGTTCTACAGACGCTGAGAAAGTGCACCTTTCAATTCTCTCATCCGACATGTATCTTGCTTCAGCACTCGTCCGCCACAGTGTCATTCCCTGTTCCCCGATTAATCCTTCAGTTGGCATGACCATTGACTGCCTGGAGTTTTATTGTATCGCACGCCAGCGCTGCCTGAACTTCCCTATTCAAGCATTTACGAAGACTCTCTGTGATTTTCAAGGCATGAGTCATAACATCACACTAACACTATCTATACAACAATGATTCATTATTTATCTAGAAATGTTTCCGTAGCTACCTGTCACACCAATTGTTGATCACTTTGGATCTTTACTTGCTCATTTGCACGCAGGTTCGTTCACTGGTCCAGGAGGCAATAGGATGAAGTGCTATCGACTGGAACCTCAAACATGCATGTCCTGCATGTTTGTATACCCTGGATGCGGAACCTCAACTCAAATTTAGTCTGTTGTATGCAATGGATGGAAACGATTTACTCAAGCGAGTCCCTGACAAGGAGCATGCCAAAGATTCAGTATCATGGAACAATCCTCAGCCATCAGAGCTCCCGACATCTCAATCCATCATAGACTATCGTTACTTGACCAGGGAGTATGTGGATTCTTTCACAGACACGTTAAACCCTCAAGTTGATTTGTTCAATGATTATGACGAGGTAAGCTTCACCTACTACAACTCTACTGACTAATGCTTTGATAGGATAATAACCCTTGTGTGGGTCGATGGAAAAATATGAAGGACAACAAAATGAAACGGATGTGGGGAGTTTTTGATGAGTTGGGGATCTTTATGGCAGTGTGTCAACACGATTTTACACTTATCATTGCAGAGATGGTGCAGAGTGGTGAACGGTATGTTCAATTCTTCATTGCAATGTACTCAGGTAAGCGACTAACAACATTCCAGTGCAAAATATCCACTCACTGTTGTCTCAAGGCTACTCGATACATTTGGACACAACCTTGGTGGGGGGTACGACGTTGGATGTAGGTTCAAGACCACACTCTCTCGCAGCTCTCTTGGTCCTTGTGCCCATACCCTGAATCACACCTCGCTTGTCGGAGCTTTTCATGGTCATGCCCACCGCCGTTTATGTCAACTAGATCACCTCACAATGTATGTCACTGGCCTCGGCTTAGAAGACCTCGAGGGTTGTGAACGGACATTCTCAAAGTCACATGCGCTCGCTCCTGCCACTCATTATGCGAGTGTGTTTCACTGTCGTCAAGCAATCTTAGGTTATTTCGAGCACAACAACAAATTTGAAATATATCATAATTTGAGTGAGTCACATGGTGCCTTGTATTACATTTTGTCTGACGGGTTCATTGGTAGTTACATTCCTATACAACAACTACAAACAGGCACTCGACATTCTGTATGATGGCCAGACTGTTCTTCCATGCCTGATGCAGGAACTCAGTGTCATGGATGAATCAGAACTCGAGGTGTGGCTCAAGAATGAACATGCATATCTCCTAAGTCGTACACATGAGCTGGAGCAGGAAACTTTTCAAATGGAATATTGGCAGAAGCTTGTAAACTTGTCCACAAGCAAGTACATACCTATTTTCTTTGATCCCTGTGACGACACTTATCTCTAGTATTAGGAAGGAATTAGATGGGACGGCATGATCTCTGACCATGCCAGGATCATCCTTTGGACAGGCTGACATTAGCATGACAGTAAGACTCGAGACAGCACACTGTCATGCACTAGAGAATTACGAGAAGGACCTCAAAATCATCCACAACCTGGAGATGAAGCTTGGTGTGGACAAAGATTGGCAACCTGAAGATACCAAGTGGCAAAATGCTGGACGGCTCGTCGCCAACAGGAAGTACCAGCTGGCATTGGACATGCTCAAAGGACTAATTGTTGCCAGGATCTTCAAACTCTCCAAGATGAATAGGGCAGGAACAGGTATGTCGTCGATTTTTGTTTGAAATATATACTCAATGTGCATTGTAATTAGGCTATAAAATGCGAAAACACATCGGCAAGGCCCTCCAAGTCCGGTCTGCAGCCATCCATACAGCTCTCGACCGCTATAACCTCACTGCTCATGCATTATCCTCACCACGTCCAGCACTGAAGTGGGAAGATGTTGTTGAGTATGCATTCCTAGCAGATTTCGAGCTTCTCTGTGACGCACGCAAGGATATTTCACAACACCTGTGGGCTACTCCATCTGGTTGCCATGCAATGGACTTATATTTCAAGATGTGTCATGTGAGGGAAGGAATTGAGCATCTGAATGTAGAGATCAGGCGTGTGGCTACGTATCTGCAAGACGAGAGACATTACCTGGAGGAATGCAAGATCCTATTGCACACGCTGCACTCAGGTTTGGCCCATCAAGTACAGATCCTCCGGAACACATGCGGCCGCTTCCTGGATTATCACTGCCAGTGGCTGCGAGACATTGCGGGGCTACCTGGGTTTTCCAGGACACTGCTCCCTGGGCAGGCCCTGCACAACAGTCCAGGAGAGAGCACGTCCTCTCCGTCAGTTCAGGTGCCTCATAAACTGTGTCTTGCTGCTGTCGATGAGTCGTTGGCCTTAGGGACTTTGAGTGGGGATGAGGATGGGCTTGAAGACCTGGAGGAGGAGGAAGACGATGAGCAATTGGCGGAAGAGGAGTCTCGCACCTTGCAGGATATCCTAGAGGTCTCAGGTCACAATTAATACATCTTCATCTAAAAATTGGACTTGGTGAAAATGTCGTCTAAAACACTTGCGAGAGTTACCGTTTTGGTTAGCACGAAATTTGGTTCGTAAATGCCTGGTTTTGGTTATGTTTGAACCCTGAGTACATTTAGATGCGAGATCTAAGGTTTATCGACACAACATAAGATTATCAGTCATACTAGTAGTACAATCGAAAGAATCAAAACATAGTAGTAGTAGAGATGTGTATTTACGAGCCCACTTGTGAGGCTCCAACTACCAACACGTACCATAAAAAGTCGTTGAATTCTACTCGCTCGTCCCCAGTGAGGTTGTTGATGGCGGCTAGAATAGAAAGGAATTTACGATTGACGACCATCCCCCCAAAAGACTCAACCTTCAACTCATCCTCAAACTGCTCGTCTAGGCCGCAGAACGTCGCTGCGCCGGCGAGCGCCCAGATCACCTTCAAACATTTGAGCTGTTCTTCTTCCGTCTCGCCGAGAAACTCGTGGCGTAAGTGAGACCAAGTGAAGCAGATCACGTTGGCCATGATGAAGAAGTTTTGAAACTTTGCCTTGATTTCGACACGTCCATTCTGAAAAAAAAGAGGGGTTAGGCTATCCGCAAACGAGAATGAAAACTCACTTGGTCAAAAGTGTAGATATGCATGAAAACGAGTCTGTCTGCATCACGCATGATCTTTTTGATCATGTATTTGCGAAAGATGACAGCAGGCGCGTTACTGTACCGCGGAGGGAAAAGTCTGTACGCGTGGAAGACGCCGTCCCGCGCGAATTCAATGAGCTTCCCGCACGTGGATGACAGCGCATTCGCGACTTCTTTGCGATGTTTGTTAGTAATGAATTCCTGAAATGTTGCTAATAAAGGGTCAGCATGATGCTAATGATCATTGGGATAAAAACTTACTGTTAGGTCCAAAACAACGTGGGATGGAGTCCCGGATGACTCGATTCAGCATTATCTTCTTGGCGGCTTTGTTGATCGCCATTGCTTGCTCCTCGAATAGCTCGCGCGTGACCAGCCGTGTTGCCATTTTCATGGTCTGGCCGATGATGTTGTCTGTTAGTTGGATGAGGTCAGATGTTGAGGACATAGGTTGCGAGGTGGAGGCTGAGGCTGAGGCTGAGGCTGTGGGAGCAGATTCGGAAGCGCCTTGTGGGTGCGTGGCTGGGTAGGGGATCAAGTGTGGCGTAGGCGGCATAGCTCGTTGTTGGCCTCGCTGCTTTGGCTCCCTTGCTGGGCCCGCCGTCTGAATAATAAAAATTAGCGTGAAATTGATTGAAGAAAAACAAACTTACTTACATGCATCACATCCATGCATGGAATTTCGCCTTGTTGTATGGGCGTCGCATCAGTTGCACTTGTGCTGGCGGCAGTGCCTTGAGAGGATCCTTGAGGTGGGTAAGCGCCCTGGGAGGGCGCTTCCATGGACGCAGTGTCGTAAAATTGAGGGTTGGAGTTGTAAGGGGGGTGATCATCATCGAAGTCGGTGCTGGCGTGCTCCAAAGACGAAGTGTCATAGGAATGGCCGTAAGATAAGTGACTATCGGTGTTGGCGCCCTGCATGCTCCAGCTATGCAGGGCTGCAGAATGATGAGCAATCAGTCAACGAAAGTGTGATGAGTCGGACTTACAGCTGCTACTTGGCATTGGAGTGGGAAGTGCACTATCGTTGTTACTGCCCTGCCAACCTCCAGGGGCCGCATGGGCGTCGAAGTCAAAAGAGGACATCTGTGGCTGTTCAGTGGGGATATAGAGTTGGTCAGTTGCCAGTTCGCCTGATGGATTGAGGCCAGAACCTCGCGGTGGCTTCGGGACTTTGGCCTTAGTTTTTCGCTGTTGCTGAGAGTTATGCTCACTAGGCATTCAAGGGTGGAGGGGATGTGAGAGCGCACGCATGCATTTAAACTGCGAGTTGATGTAATAGTACATAGGGGGGAAAGAGACACAGACTTTACACGATCTTTACAAACCAGGAACACGTGGCGGGCTGATAAGGTGATTTACAAACAAAGCAAGGCGATTTACTAACGAAGTGTAAAAAGAGGGGAGGGGCGTGTCCGATAAGGTGATTTATGAACAGCAGAAAGACATATATGAACGGCCGGGGCGGGCGAAGCACATTATTGAACGGTCGAAGCAAGGTGGTACCAGTTGATAACAATCTATTAACACGATGACTGAATTGATAATGATCAGTGTGAGTGTTGTGAATGGCTTGGTGGTCACATACCATTGATGGTCACAATTACACGCTGTGTCAGTCCTGCTGGCCGGGCTGCCTGACTGAAGCATCATCTTCACCAGAATCCATATCGGTGTCGGTATCGGTGATGACACTGGCCTCCGTACAACCACCCCCCAGTGCACGTGTGATACTGTCCTTATTTTTCAGAGTACCAACAAAACGAGGGAGGTAGGTAGTTTCGCCGGTAGATGCTAATAATTCACGTCTGGCACTGGAGCCCAGGTGGTTTGAGATTATCTCTGCTTGAGTGGTGATGGCGCGAAGTATCTCGCATTCATCATTGTAGACGGCTTGATTGTAATTCGTATCATCTTCGATTTCTGTGCGGTCACGCTCGGAAAAAATGTTCCTAATCTTCTTCAGCTGTTCGTCCTTCAAAAAAAGCCGGGTTTTGTTCTCCTGGTGAAGCGCCTGATTGAATGCACTCATGCGCTCTGAGGCTTCAACCTGCCATAACGATGTGGCTACTTCATGGCAAGCAGCCTCACGACCAGCAAGTACTGCCTTGAACACTTTGTACAATGTACCAAAGCTCATCTGTGAGAGGCCACTGGATATTGCATCCTCGTGCTTTTGAACATAGACTATGTGAGAACTGGAGAACTTGTATAACAAAGCAATGAAAAGACAAATACCTCTTGCAGTTGTTCAGTTGTAAAGTCAGGTTGGCGTACTCGTCCTGTCACGCGGTTTGCGAACCGAAGCTCCAGTGGAGATGGCCTGGGAGGGTATGGTACATGCCTCTTGGATGGCTTCTCACGCAAGTAAGCTGCCCGAGAAAGTGACCTTTGTGACTGGAAACTGTCAGGCTGAGCTGTACTCCTAACTCTTGCCTTCACAGTTTGACTCTCCATATTGCGCAAAACCATCTTTTACCACAAAAGATTGCCTCCTGGACTGGATGGACTCACTGCCTTCTTTTGTCCCGTGGAAAGTCTCTAAAATAGAATTTAAAGGCTATAAGACTGTTCGTCCCGTGGAGCTTGTTTGGCGCGATGCGCTGGAGGTTGTCAAGCAACTATTCAGCGACCCAACTTTTGCAAACCACATGACCTTTCACCCTCACGTCGCTAACGTCGAAAATAAGTGTGAATATGGAGACTACATGAGTGCCGATATGGCATGGAAAATTCAGGTTTGGTCGCCCTGTTATTAATATAATCCTCACCAATTGTAATTTCTAGGACCATCTCCCGTTGGGTGTGACTCAAGTCCCAATAATCTTAGGATCCGACAAAACTCCCATAACGCGACTTACCGGAGGAATTGAGATGCACCCGGTCTTCGTTACCATCGGTAACATTGATTCTGAGGTTCATTCCAAAGCAACATTACGAGCTTGGCGCTGCATAGCCTACATCCCTGTCGTCAAGTTCCGTGTCCATCCAGATTACCAGTCTATTCTCCAAGCCAGACTGTGGCATAAGTGTATGGACCTTGTTTGCGCCAACCTCAAGGCCGCAGCGAAGGATGGCTGCTTTATGCCCAATCCTTCCCGTTACATTTGTCATGTGTTTACGCCGCTCGTCGCTCATGTGTGCGACCTACCAGAGGCTACTATGATTGCTGCAGTCAGCAAAAACTCATCCCCACTGACTATGACAACACAAGCGGATTTTGGCAATGGAATTCTCCACCCCCCTCGTACCGGGAAGCACACATTGCAACTCATTGTGGAGATATCCCAAACAGTCGATCCCTGGGATCTCGACAAGTTCCAGAAAGCGGCCAAAGCCGTTAATCTATCTGGTGTTCATATGCCACACTGGCACGATTGGATGTTTGCATGTCCGTCCATTTTTCTCGCCGGTGAAGTGCTGCACACTTGCCATAAATTCTTCGCGGATCATCTACTGAAATGGATCAAAGAAATTGTAGGACATTATGAGCTTGATACTCGCTTCATGGTGCAGCACAAGTGAGTCGGAACGCGCCACTTTACGAAAGGTATCACTCACATTAATCAGATGACAGGCCGCGAGCATAGAGACATCCAACGCACTATCGTTGCATCAATCGCAGGGGTCGTTCCACCCAGATTCATTCATGCAATTCGTGCCCTCATGGAGTTCTTTTACCTCGCACAGAATCCGGTTCACTCACCTCAATCACTTCAGTCAATGGTTCAGGCGCTTTCAGATTTCCACTCTTTCAAGGACACTATTGTCCAGGCCGAGGCAAGGAAGGGGAAGAAGGGTATCAAAGAGGATTTTTTCATCCCCAAACTCGAGCTTCTGCAGAGCTTCGATGGTACAATTAAGAAATTGGGCACTTTGATGCAGTTCTCTGCTGACGTGACGGAGCGGCTACTTATCACACATTGCAAGGACCTTTTCCCGCGGACGTCCCAACAAATCAAAGATTTTATGGAGCAGTGCGTGCGGATTCTTAATCGCCAAGAATCTATGGAAATGTTCGGCCTGTACACGCTGCTGACTTCTCGTGGGGCGTCACTGGTTAATGCCATACATGCCGAAGATGAAGATATCACAACTACCAATCCTGCACTCTCCTGGGTTTCCCGAGTTCTTCCTGATGAAGTCAGGTCAATCCATGGTCCCCGACCAGTCCGTAATCACTTCCTCAAAGGTATTCTCTCTGAGGATGCGCTCACCACTTTTCAACTCAATGTCGCACCTGATTACAAATCACTCTCACTGTCTGAAATACGCAGGAAATATGCAGTCCTCGACTTTGATCGTGCGCTCGCCAACTTCATTTGTCATTCCTCGGTTTCCAGTGGTGAACATTCCCGCTGGGACCCCAAATATGGGCGTTTCCAGGTATGGCACAAGTTTCGATTGCAACTTCACTCGGCCTTCCAGCCGCGAGTCATCATGCCAAGTCGGGTGGTGCAAGCATACCCACCAAGCGATGATTTCCCCTTGGGAAATTGTGATTCTGTTCTCATTGATGCCATGGGCACTAACGGCAAAATGAGTATGTCTATTTCATGTGCTTATGTTGTAGCCCTACTGATATCATGTACAGCGAGTTATATCGCACAGGTTCAACTCATTTTTCAACCAATCGTTCGACGAGGTTCCAACCTGGAACTACCGTTGTATCTCTCCGACCCACTGCTCTACATCCAATTTTTCTGCTTCATTTCTAGCCCTGATGATCGTCCCGAGCTCACGATGTGGACTGTGGAGCGCGCATACACGCAGGACGAAAACGGTAACCACTGTAGGGAAGGGGCTGTCATTTGAGTGACAGATGTGACGCATGCAGTTGAATTAATTCCAGTTTATGGCGAGGCAGTGGCTAACAGCGTGTCCTCTGCGACTTGTTTGGAACACTATGAATGTTTCTTTCTGAATAGCTTCGCGGACAAGGAGAGTTATCATATGTTCAGTACCAAGTTTGTATAGACAGTAGCTTAATCAATATGTAGCAATTGCTATCGCATTCATCGTATCGTATCTGTGAGCCTATCACATCTTATCAACAAAAGATAAATTGGTTTATGTTTTATCAGCCCGATGTGGTGAGTAATATTGGCGTTCAGACATCTCCACCAATCGCATGACTTCGCTACTGAAGTCATAAGTGTCTGTAAGTGTTCGTAACGCGCGTAAGTTAAGCGTTCATTTCAGTCGTTTTGCAGATGTTCTATACTTCACTCCCTGTAGTTATGTAAGCATTTGACAATGGACGGTGTACACTATGTACACGCAAGGAGTATCTGACATAAGCACGGGACTTTCCTAGCCGCCGGCATCTATGAATAGATCAGGAACATCGGCACTATGTCCGGATGTGTCAGGTTGTCGCCAGGTACTGTATCATTTCGACCTTAGGTTCGTGTGAAAATCTCCGCAATCTTATGTAATCATTTGTAGCATGTTCGTTGGCCATTGTGACATGTGACGAACCTAATTTAGGTTCGTTGACTGCGTCAAATGTCTGCTCTGGCGGCGATGCCTCTGTGACATGGATAATCTTTGATTTGCACTACTTCTCTGTTGGCTTGAAGGCTGCTCTATTGACAGCCAATAGTTAGTTTGTTTCTAGGTAAGTGTCCCACAGTTTGTGTCTTAGATATCACCCATCATGTTTCCTCACAGCAACCTCGCTTCAGACGTGCCCACAGGCCTACAGGCTATTGATATTTCTACGAGCATCATTCCGGAGGAACAGAAAGATCGACTTCTCAAACTACCCCCTTGCTTTTCCGGTTTCATTCCTCTCCAAAACCTGCCTGTCTCGGCTCTTGTTGACTCTACAACTCTTCCTGATTTCGATCCTGCGCTTGGTGAACTTGATATCTGCAAGTTTTTCTCCTCCGTCGAATGCAACACCTCCAATCTCGCTAGCAGCTTCTTCTAACACTCCATCCCACCTCTCCATTTGTCATCTCGACTTCTGGGCACATTTGAACAGGCTGTACACGACGGAGCGAAGTCCGTGTGTGACCCACGTTTTCCGGGAATTTTGCCATGCTGGGTCCTTACCTATTGGCATGATGTAGGCCGTGCAGTTGCCTCAAAACAAATTTGGTCTGTAGCATATAATTGGTTGGCACACTGCGGCCTTGATAGGGCAGATATCGAGCTTAGTACTGCTGTTGACGAAAAATAACTCATGCGTTGCAGACACTTGGATGGGATATGATGCTGCAAGGCCCTGGTGCATTCCTTGAGACGTCCGATCTTGCTGAAAGGCCCATTAATGGGATTCTGGTACCATTCTGGATGGCGAAGAAACAGCAGCAAGGTGTCCCACTTGATCAACCATGCATTCTGCAGCTCGATTGCTGGGTAATTCATCGCTCTATCGCATTTCGCACCTGGCTTGATGTCAACCACCCTTGGATCCATTATTGTTTTGTCCCTGCCGGTACAACTGGTGTTGCACAGCCCTGCGACGTCGGCATTCAACGATCCCTCAAACTGGCTATAAAGGAGCTGCAGCACAAAGATATTGTTTCAGAAACTCTATCACAACTCACGGCTGGAAAGACCCCAGATGACCTTCGACTTGACGTGACAAAACCAACGCTCCGTGATCGGCGATCGCTCTGTGCGGTGGTTCATCGAGGCCTTCAAGCTCCTCAACAAGCCTGGCATCATACAAAAGGTGAGATTAGTTCTGTTCAGCAAAGTTGACCACTGATGCAGGGTGCAGGCTTTTTCATTGTGTACAGCTGGTGCAGACAACATGTTCAACCTGTCATTTGAGAGTCTGACAAGTCTTGAAGCCCGTCGCATGCTTCGTGACTTGCCACAAACTGCTCCAGACATGTGGGAGTGCATCCAACTACGTCGTCAGCCTGCTAGCGAAGATGCGGAGGCTGTCACTCAAGACACGGAGGTTGTTACTGAGTCAGTACCTGAAGATAATGAAGAGGAACCAGGTGACGATGCTCCGTTAGAGCTCCTCTTGCAGTTTGTTGCATCTGGCATGAAGTGTGCACCTGATGGGTACAGGATTGATGTAGATGGGTCGCTGGTTGTTGACTCTGCCGGTGATACATTCGAGGAGGTTCAAGTTGCCATTTCTACGGACCCTGATACTACATTTGGGAGGGGAAAGCGCAGACATGTTGCAAACAAGCAATATGATGTGTTTGAGGAGCACTAACATGTAGCATAGTTTAATATCATCATTTTTTTCTTGAAAAATTGCTCAATACAAAGTGTCACACTTTTATGTTTGTCGGCTGGATTTCCCTGTGACTGTCACAAAAAATAGGTTCGGTTCGTCAGGCTTGCAACGGTGTGACGAACCTAAGGTCGAAATGATACAGTAAGCTTAAAGGGCCATAAATATTCACAATTATTCGTACTGGCAGGGAATCACTCAAAGCGCCTCGACTTAGACCGGCCACACCGACACAATGGTACGTCTAACAGGCCTGACAACGTGGGAGCCTCAGGTGGCCTCAGGTGTAAGTAAGCATCAACGCGCGTCTAGATCGGGTGTGGGTTTGATACCCGGTAACCCAGGCCGAATGACGTTTGGGCATGTTCCGATTATCAATTTCACCCCCATCCGCTTCACGAATCACGATCATCTCGGAACGATGTGGCTCCATGATGGAGTACTTGACGATGATGGGCATAGCCTCTTGTTACTGGTGGCATCTCTTCGTTTCCATCAATGTCCAGAATAGTTTTGGGCGCTGGGTGTCTGAATGAGTAAACAAGGAAGATGTAACGACATACAGCAACGGGGATCAGGAATTGAGCTCGAGCATGGAGGCCCTTGTTTCAGCAATGAAGGCAATTCGCGCCGAGTGGTTTAAGATGCTGGCATCTCTGTACCCACCATTCAGTTTCTCGCCAGATCTTCAGAACCATTATTCCTACAACTCGAGTCAATATGGCCTCCTTGAAGTATACCCCGAAGCAACAACTCACAGAGGTTTTCATCCGTCATATGGCGCTTATGATAAATGCTGATATTCCCTGTAGATTCATAGTAGGTTGTCGCAGACCTTCCGTGAGGGTCGCACCCTCCCGTTGGGATACCGCCGCAAGCAACTTCTGCAGGTCGCCCGCCTTGTTCAGGAAAATTCCGATGCTATTATGGCTTCCCTGAAAGCTGACCTTGGGAGGCATCCTTTTGAGGCCACCCTCCCTGAACTAGGTCCGATGGTTTCAAGTGCCCTTCATGCTGTCGAGAATCTTGATAAGTGGAATTCTCCCGAGAAACCGCAAGTCGAGGCTTGGCGCAGTGAGTGGGACACAACCATCTTCAAGACGCCCAAGGGCACAGTGCTTAGCATCAGGCAAGCCGCTACCATCTAGCCAAGTTGTCTTGGTGGCACGTTAACAATCCTCCCTTAGTCCCTGGAACTTTCCGTGGGTGCTCACGATTTTGCCGTTTATTGGCGCAATTGCTGCGGGTTGCACATGCTTGATCAAACCTTCAGAGCATGCCCAAGCCTCTGCGGCCCTCCTGGCGAAACTTATCCCGCAATACCTTGATCCGGATGCCTATGCTGTCTGCCTCGGAGCCGTTGAAGAGACCACGCATGTCCTTAGTTTGAAATGGGACCACATTTTTTACACGGGCAGTACGAGTGTCGGACGGATCATCGCAGAGGCAGCAGCAAAGCAGCTCACGCCGGTGACTCTCGAGCTCGGTGGACAATCGCCTGTCTTCGTCGACGGGGACAGCACGAACATTGAGATCGCTGCGAAGAGGATTCTGTGGGGAAAACAACAGAATGCAGGACAGGTAAAACCTACACTGTTGCTCTAAATATTAGCAAAATAACTGCATTGTCATGGCAGGTTTGTGTCGCACCGAATCATGTTTTTGTGCAGGAAGAACACCAAAGCGCACTGGTGGAGGCGTTCAGAAAAGCTTATGACTCGTTCTGGCCAATGGGTCCGCTTGACTCCTCTTCTGAGATGGCTCGCGTGGTGAACGCTCGGCACTACGAACGCAACAAGAGTCTCTTGTCCCGAACCAAAGGAAAGGTCGTGATCGGAGGACAAACTGGGCAGGATCTTCGCATTGAGCCAGCAATCATTACCGGTGTAAAATTGGACGACCCATTGATGGAAGAGTCAGTCGAGCTCATGCCCTTCCAAACGCTATTTAACTGACTGCTCAAACCGTGATTGTAGAGAGATATTTGGTCCTATTTTGCCAATCATTCCAGTTGCAAATGTTGACGCTGCCATTTCACACATACAATCTGGGTGAGTCTTTCGAAGATGGCCTATCAGGGAAAACTCTCATGCCCTATAGGTCTACTCCCCTTGTCATTTACGTCTTCACGGAAAATGAGGAGACAAAAAACAAATGTAGGAATCACCCTTCCACATATGAGATGCATGTTGATCAGCTGTGTTTCAAAGTCGTAGAGCGCACCCAGAGCGGACAGCTGATTCTCAATGAAACTTTCGCTCAGGTTGCTGTCTATGAAATCCCTTTCGGTGGTCAAGGGCAATCTGGCTGTGTGTTCCGTTCCGCGTGTCATTGAGAGAGGTGCTCAGCGTTCATTCATTGCAGATGGATCATACCTTGGGAAGTACTCCTTCGACGCCTTCACCCATCAAAGGGGCTATATCAATGTCCCCGCAGACGCAAGGTGGGTGTGAGGCTGCCCATGTCGAACTTACCTGATTAACGCCGGACATATCTAAGGACGGAAGGCTTCATGCAGGGAAGGTATCCTCCTTACTCAGCGCCTGCACTTACATTCTTCTCCCAAGCGCTCAAAGCGAAGATTCCCGACGCTTAATCCCTCGTTCATGTTTGGAAAATGTTAACATCATCATGTCGACATGTTAAAGTTATAATCTTTAGGGTGATACGAAGAAGAAAGTATACCAAACCAAGCAAGCTGCAGTTATACGATGTTCAATCGGTCTTGGGCCTCAATACTCAGTAGTACTCACCTTTGTATATTGTCCCAAATATTGTAATAGCGGCACAACCTGCAAGTGCATTTCAATCAACAATATAAATTTTGGCCCAAAAATCAATAATCTAAAAATGCTTTTTGGTTTCACTGGTGACAGAGCTGAAAGAGAAGAGAAACAAGTCTCATTGAACGAGTTAGAATTGACTCCCAGCTGCGAGGGCAGATTTAGACCATTTATGACACTTTTGAGCATTCGAGTGTGGCATTTGTTCACACCACTCACCAATGCAGATTTATTCCTACCTGGTTCATTCAACCATTGGGCAGGACATGGCAGTCAACTTGAGACTTCACTCTTCACGAGGGTCGCTCGACTATGTCCAATGTGACTAAAAGCAAGTTTCAATAATTGGCTCCAGCTCCAAAGCGCGCACTCCAAATTTCAACTCAGATTTACCAGTCCGTCTATCGATGGCTTGCCTCATAGACGGACTGGTCACGAGTCTACTTAGAAACCCTGCTATAGTATCGTAAGCCAGAAGGGTTTCTGGTTAAAATTATCCCTCTCATTGATCTTATTAGATTAAGTATTAGATTGAATTGAATTGGTGCAAAGGACTGTATTCTACCTAATGTAAGTCTTTACAAAGTTCTGACATATCTGACGCTGTGACTGACAAATTCTTTCGGACTCGACAAATTCCCGTTTACCGTTACTATGTACTCGTCCATCATCTCGATCCTAACATGCATCATATTATGATGCAGGCGAGTGATATGCATCACCTAGCACCAAAATGGGGGGTACCTGGCAAGTGTGATGCATTAGTGAGAAACCGGTAAAGGGCAGTACGGCTGCCACAATTATGTATCACAGGTGCGCTTCTAATACCTCCAACTTACGCCACGAACCTGTGTGTAGGCATCCATCAGAGAACTCATGAGTCCGTGACATGGTAGCCGTGGTGACTATAGGATGACATAATTCTGCTTCTGCTAAATATCGTTATGTATACTGCGAGATATTTGAGTTACTGGTACATAGCCATGAATGTCTGAAAATCTAGATTACCATGAGGAGTTCGTGACAAGATCACGACTTTGCACCATCACAGCTGGAAAGCTATAACAGCGTAATTAGATACAACTTGTTGCAGCCTATACTGTTATAAAGATGTATCTATACTGTACTATAAGCCAGAAACTCCGATACATCATTCAGTTTAATTGTCCACTATCCAGACAGGATGTATCCCTAGGGCAGCCGCTTTACGGGCTTACTAATCATAAAAACGGAGGTTGAATGCTATATATGGACGTTGTCCACCTGTTGACCCTTGCCTCCCGTAGGACCCAATATTTGGTTCTTCTGCATCGGCTTCCATTGACTGGATCTTTCAATGAGCAGGTCCATTGAGGGCAGATCTCTCTTGAATCTGAGGTGAGTGCCTGTACCTGCCTGTACCTGCTTATGATCTTGTCTTTATAGTATTTTCATCTATCTTTTTGACTTCACCTAGTGCCTATGAGGAACTTCCCGCACTTGATATGTTTTTCTTTGCACATCCACTTGTTTTGTTGAATTCCTCCGATTTCTCAGTTCACATCCTTTTTTTTTCTTTCACCTAGACGCACCGTCCTCATGTACTTGCATTTTGCCAGGTTATGCTTTGTCCTATCCGTCATTCTCGCCACATAACTCGCCACTTTGAATTCCTCTGATTTCTCAGTTCAAATCCTTTTTTTGCTTTTTCCTAGACGCACCGTCCTCATGTGCTTGCATTTTGCCAGGTTATGCTTCGTCCTATCCGTCATTCTTGCCATGTAACTCGCCACTTCAACTTCATCTACAAAATGTTCAACTCAATCCAGCTCATTAAAACAAAGTATTTCACTCCAGCACTTCAACATCATTAAGGTTCTGCTTCATTCCATTTATCATCCTTGCCATTGTAACTGACCACCTCAATTTCATCTAGAACTGCAAATTCAGCCACAACGTCGTCAGGCGGACAAGGTCATCTCAGTATGAGATTTGGTCGAGAGCGGAGGTGTGCACATGAAGGAAATTTAAGTTTTATTGTAGTTTCATGAGTGTCAATTGCCGCATGACCTTTAGTAGTGTGTAGCGTCTCATTTGTTATGTTCAAAATGTGTCCAACTATATCATACATGCAAGAAAACAATATATTGCGTCTTTTTGGGGAGGACATGTCTTTATTACAAGTACTATACTATGCTTGCATTACCAAAAATTAAAATGGCACGGCCAAATGATGATAACAGAATGAGCAAGATATGTTGAACGAGTGACTCAGGACCCATCACACTTTCGCCCTCCTGTTCATTTCATTTAATCAAGTTGAGAACAAATATTGGATATAGCCGCAACTCACTTAGATCCATGGTCTGAAGACATCTCAGCCTGGGGGTGCTTGTTTTCCTTCCGAGAGGCACCGATCGCGTTTGCAGTGTTGTTGTGTGTTGATGGCTTGGGGATGTGCTTGGTCCTGCGTGTTTCAAGCACTGGTCCATCATTGATGTCTATGTCATCAAGACGGTCGCTTCCTGGGGTAGGTGCCAATGGATCCATGTCAAAGGAAGGAGTTGTCGAAGAGAGAGGAAGTTTGCCAGTGAGTGACTCGGCGCTCGAGCTGGTATCTGGAGGGTGACCAGAAGTAGTGACCGGTGGAGGGATGTGAGAGATGGTGGGCAGTGTGTTCAAGATGGTGTCTGGAGGGGGAGTGGAAGTAGTGTCCAGTTGAGGGGTGTGAGAGATGGCGGGCAGTATGCTTGAGCTGGTGCCTGGAGGCAGGGTGGCAGTACTAGCAGTGAACGGTGATGCAGGGGGAAGTGGGACCATGGTAAGAGTATTGATTTCAGATGCACCAGCTAGTGGCTCCAACCCCATTTGAACATCCAGATTGGAGAGAAATATATCTAAGTCTGGGGGCGTCCAGTCATCGCAGGTGCCATGCAAAGGGGGCAATGGTGGGCAAAGGCGCCATTGTGAGTGATTCTGGAAGGATGGGAGATTGTAAGAGGAGTCCATCGAGGGATGTATCATGTTGCATTGATTGCATATCAGACCACTATAGTGATACATCTCCAGTGGACAAGGCATTAGAGACGCTACCGCTGGTACCTGACGATGATACATCAATCATGGATAAGTAATGAATGATGCTGCCAGTACCTGATGATGATACATCCCAAAAGGACAGAAGCTCACTACCCGACTTATATATATCCAAGTGCGACGACGAATCCCTTGTGTCACCACCAGTTCCACTACTACCCTCTTGCTGTTGTGGGCTTGATACACCAGCCTCAGCTATTAAATTTAATGCCCAGTCAGTTCAATGAATTCAATTGCTCAGAAAAAACTCACGGTATACTCGATGTAGAAAGTCTTGAAAGGGCTCCATGACACCGGCGTCAAACCCAGGGTATGCGGTGCTAAAGTTGTTACCTAGCTTTGTTTGACCAACATGAAAACTGAACAAGTAAGATATGGTTTTAATTTTTTCAGTAAAATGCAAGCTTACCTATAGATATCAATTGCCCCAAGTGCTTCTGGAGATGGACCCCCAGCAAGGAGGGAGAACGACATCCCAGTTGCTTCTGCCAGCCCTTTCAAGAATGAGTTAGCGACTGCCACAAGTTTGTCGAGGTTTCTTTTCGAAGCGGAGGTAAGTTGGTGATATGGTGCCACTGAACGTAATAAACATGAGCTCACCATGAGTAATCACCACACATTTGCCTCCGTCCGATTTGCTTATCTTGGATTCTCTGCTGCTTCTGGTCTTCGAGATACTGCTTCACTTGGTCCTTGATATCAGGCGACTCCTGGGCATATAACATTGCAGTCTCCTTCTTCACAAGAGCGACGTGTTTGCCATTGGTAAGTGTCCTGTGTTCTTGAGCGGCTTTCTCCAGGGATCCTTTAACAGTTGGCTGAACATGAGTTGTGTAGAACAGTTTTGAGTATGCCTCCTGTTCCTGGAGCATGTGCGTGGGCTTTTTGCACTCAGTAATGCTTCAAACCATGGCATCGATCACACTCATTGTATTTGCCTTTGCCTTTCTGCCCGATCTTGAACCTCCTAGGCTATTTTTGAATCAAGTATATAATTTCTTTGTCGTATGTATTTAGTCACATCATTATCCATAGCCTAATGGGTGAATACTCACTGTCTTACGTGCATCATGAGCTGCACCCATCTCCATTAACGTCAGGGGTCCTACCTGTGTGATGTGACCTGGCCTTGGTTCTGGGAACTCTTCAAACCATTGTTCACAAAGGTCGGCAAAGAAATTCTTGTAGTTCTTGCTTTTTTCACCCTGCTTTGCCTTGAATTTTTCATACCAAGGTTGCAACCAAGCCTCTTGTTCAACTGACGTCCATCTAGGAGGGGCCATGCTATTTTTGGATTTAGTCATATTCACATGACAGTGACGTGTTTCATGTACATTACTGACTTGATATGTTTTGCCGGGGCAACCAAAATGAAAATTTTAAGTAAGGAGCTGTGTGTTATTTGCAACGTGTCATCATTATCCCACACATAAATCTCCCTCGGGCACCACCAACCAGGGCCTCATGCGCACGTGTAGTAAATCTCCCTCACACACCAACCAGGCCTCATGTGTAAATCTCTCTCACACTCCAACCAGGTGTAAATCTCCTTCATGCACCAACCAGGGTGCATACACAGACTCAGGTATTTTCTTATTATATTTGAATGGATAGCGGTATTCAACCTGGGCATTCAGAACACGCAGTAAATCTCCCTTGCATACCAACCAACATGTATAACTCCCTGGCACACTCACTATAGGCCGACCTCAATTGTACAACTCATCTGAAGAAAAGGAAAGAGCTGCTCGTAAGTATAGACAGGCATATAAAGAAAGCTATGTTGTCAGCTAGCTACTGTAACTCCACTCATAAAATTTTTGTCTAGGAATACAAAATCTATAAACCAACAGTTATTCGCAGTGATCGGCAACTCATCCCGCGAGTTCACAGAAACCTTATGCTGCGCATTGATTCAGTGTGAGGAGTCTGAAGTGACGAATGTGCTCATCGATATCCTCGCAGCGCTTGATATAATCGAGGATTTAGAACTAGAGGCACGCAAGGTAGGAAGTGCAGTACTCACACGTGTGCGAGAGGTCAGGGTGTCACTACAAGATATAATTGCGTGGGTTAGGATCGATATGGATGCCTTGGATGAAGCATACAAAAAGGGGGAGATTTATCACCAATATGCTAACAGTATCTATGTATGTCCGTAACCCTATTAGACAAGTCAACGAAGTCGCTATTGGTGGCTGATGCATGTTGTATTACAGCTGATCCTCCATTCGCTCTCAGCACAGAAACTTCTATCCCTTTCTGAGTCTCATATCTGGGCCCTCAGGCTGTGGATTCACGATGGACCATACACTGGTATACATCCCTCTGCCGGTCTCTCACATATCCTTGCTGACTCGTCTATTTTCCCAGTCTGCATGATCATCATGCTGCATCCCACCACTCATCAAACAGAACAAGCAAAACTTGCAGCGAGTCAAGAGAGATGCCGACATCATTATGAAAAGTAAGTTTGATTTTTATTAATTGTCTTTGACAGACGGCAGTTCAACTGACATACAAAGACACAGAGACGCTATATTGAAAAGGCGACAAAAGCTTCGCCTCACAAAGCCATTGCAGGAGGTATGGGAGATTCAAAGAGCACTTGCTGTGGCCTTGGGCTATGATGATGAAGATCCATCTGAGCTGGAGACGAGTGATGACGAGAATGACGCACTGTATGTCATGACTTTTTTTGTTTTATAAATAGTGAAACATAATTTAAATATCTACAGATTACTAGATCTCCCATCATGCCTGCTCGCTGTCAAAAGCATCAAGGACGAGATGTTGGTGCTAATTGGAGAACCCTGCGCATTTACACAGAATCTCCTCTCTCAGTACGTCAAAAGCTTGCCAGATGAAGTGCTTGGCAAGGGCGACACCTCAATCATTCAAAATGCGAAAACCGAGGTCGAACACTTACTCCGCTATGAAACTCGAGTGCAGGATCAAATTGTTATTTTCTGTGGAGTCTCGACTGAGTCTCGCGCTACTGAATCAGTCTCCCGGTTCTTAAGCACTATGCTTGCTTATCTAGATGATGTCCAGTATTTTTTGGACATTGAAGGACTCACTGAGTTGACGGTTGCTCACTCAATGAGAGAGCTGATGTACCAGAAGGATATCCGTATTTAAGGCTTACATTCACGCATTTTCTCATCAACTTTTCGATACATCCATGTACTGTTTCTACTAGCATGAATGTTGATTGGTCACGTGCCTGATGCATCGTTTGGTGAGCCCACTGCTTCCTTTGAAGCTCTAGTATCGCAGATTCGCCAATGTCATCATACTATCAGCCATGGGGATATATCCCTCCAACTTCCAGCCCCTTGTTACATCAGCATGTCATTCAATACTGTTTTTCTTCAGGTTACAATCTCTTAGTCATGTCAGCTGGAGGTCGCCCATCCAAACACCCATAATTCATTCACCATATCCATAGCAAAACTGTTGGCCAGGCCAGCACCAGACATCGCAACTTCAGCCTGCAGGCAAATGGAAATTTCAATCTCCGGACATCATACTTGTCTGCTTCCAGACCTGCAATAGAAGAGGAGGAGCAAGCGCTATCTCAACAAGCTGTTGGCATGGACTCAGACCCTTGGAATGAGACTCAGTTTTGCCAGGCAGTAGAAGATCCGCAGTCTCATTTGGATGGGCCATCTCAAGTACAGCGCCGGAGAACACCAGGTGTAAGTCTCTTATGTAGTTTTATTGTAGTATTTTTTTGATTATCTTTTAGGATGATCCCATCGCCCTTTGGCTGCCCGAACATGAAACATACTTAGATGAACTCATTTGTCTTGAAGGGTGAGGCAAAAGCACCAGTGAACCATGCTCATGTGGGGAATTTTCACCATCTTTCAGATGTCAAGACTGTTTATCCCCTCTGCTATCTTGTCACGCATGCCTCTTGCAGTCACACCTCAGAATGTCATTCCATAGAATTGAGGTGGAGTAATTCTCATTCGTAATGTATCTGTATTGAATTTTGTCGTGCTTTAGGAATGGCAGGATGGGTTTTTCCATGCTTTAACTCTCAAATCTTTAGGGCTACATATTCAGCTCAGTCACAAGGCAGGAGAAACTTGTTGTCATCCGAGCCCCGCCTTTCATGACGACTTCATTGTTATCGACACTCACGGAATTCATGAAGTCGGCCTATATTTCTGTGGTTGCGAGCACGAAGCTTCCCATTATAAACAGTTGCTTCAGGCGCATCTTTTCCCTGCAACAGCTACTGATCCTAGAACCGCCGCAACATTTGCGGTGTTGAAGTTCTTTCATCTGCTTTCCTTCGAGTCCAAAGTATCCGCATACAAGTTCTATCATAGTTTGGCACACCAGAGTGACAATACCGGAATCACACCAATACGGGTGCATCATATTGTCTATGGTTTTATGCAGCTAGACTCATACTTTATCTAGGATCACTACTCAACATTTCTTAGGATTGTGCATGAGTGGAGAAACCTTCGTTCCTTGAAATGCGCTGGCCATGGCCATGATCCGGCTGGTGTCAATGCAACTCAGGAAGGAGAACTCGCTCTTCTGTGCCTGGCATGCCCACACCCCGGAAAAATTTACCTGACGGGTGGGAAGCTTCAACTCAACAGTGCGTTCTTCTAATGTTGATGGTAGGATTGATGCTAACATATTTCAGGTGGATGTATAGTGTATTTCTTGCAATCAATGCAAATTTCCATCTCAAGCGCCGAGCCATCTCCTCCGACACCAAAGATCCAGGTCTTAGTGGTGGCTGGGGCTATTTCATCAATGAGAAGCCTTACAAGGCTTACATAGGTAATAGTTCTGCTGTCATACAGAAGGTGTGTGCTATTCATCATGTTTACTCTCACAAATTAATGTAGTGTCAACAGAGGAGCACTTGTGTGAGTCATAATGCTGTGAACATGGCAGATACAAAAATATCGAAGGGACTTGCTGCTACAGGCGTCGGCACTGTTGACTGTGCCTGCCATGATATGAAGTTGGTGAATGGTGTTGGGGACTTGCAGAAAGGTGAAAGGTACATGTATAGCATTCAGTCTGCATCTTTCACACACTCATGGCATCATGCTTTAGATATGTAAATATGGATTACCTTGTGTCTTCAGCTTTGTCGACATTTTCAAGCCTCAAAGTCATCAACTTCTCTTATGATATTGCATGCCAATGGCACAAGAAACTCTGGGGTCATGTTCCTTCGCTTCCTCATCGCCTTCAACCAGATCCTGTTGGAAAGACTTTCCGGTATTTTGTACCGAAGTTTCATCTCGCAGTGCACATCAAAGCTTGTCAAATGATGTTCTCACTTAACTGGTCACCCAGCGTTGGTCGGACAGATGGAGAAGCCCCTGAGCATGGCTGGGCAAACATCAATTGTGTTGCTATGAGCACTAAGGAGATGGGCCCTGGAGCTTGTCGAGACGCACTGGACGACCATTTCAGAGACTGGAATTGGAAGAAGATCACATCGCTAGGTATTTATCTGGTCTTCGCTGCTGATGTGGTTGACTCACATCTCGTCTTCAGGTTGAGTGTTGTTACAGAAGGTCATCAAAGCCGTCAGAGCCGAGCAAGAGCATTGTATTGCACTTTCCGAACTTGAAGACTCTATCCAAGAGTCTGAACTAGGTACCTCCTCACTTGCAAAATGGAGAGAAGAGATAGAGACTTGGGAGGTTGACCACACAAAACCTAATCCTTTTGAGAGACACATTGATAGTATGTATTTCTTTCTTACAAGGATTGGCGCACTAACTAATACTTTTCTAGCTATGACACAGGCAGCCGTTTGGCTGGAGCTCGCCAAACAAGATGCCAAGGAGTTGGAGGATGGCACTGCTGTGTCTCTTCACTCCGAGGTATCTTGCAGTATCCTCATCAGCACCAGCATGGATCTTGAACATGCCCAGTGAGTGTCCCAAGTGGATGATGCGATGAATATGGACTTATTTTTTTTCTTCAGACGTCAACTACGTGCAGATGCAGGATTACTCAGTCAACATCCAACTGACACTCAACGGACGAGCATTTTGACCCGCAGCAATGCCCTCCTCCGCTGCATAGACACCTGGACAATGATCCAGACTTTGTACATGCCGTCAGTCGCGAACCTACGCGCCAATAGGTTGATTGATTTGTCGAGTGACAATGATGACGACAGTGGCTGTCCCAAGCCAAATCCCAACTCCGGAAAGGCCGAAGACTCGCAGCTCCTCCTGCCTTCCGAGATCTGTGATCACGTACCATGTGATCGCAAACTCCTTGAAATCGAATGGTCTCTCCGGCTTGCACAAGCTCACGATGCACTCAATGAGTGCCGCACTCACATTCGCCTTCGTCAGCAGCTAGTGCAGTTCAAAAAACATCACATACGTGGTCAGAATCCCAACACTCGTGCAAGGAATACGCTCGACACTGTGGAACATCGTCTGGTTATGAGCCACGCAAAATACTCATGTGCACAAAAGACACTTGTTACTCTATCCAATCACCTCGACTGTGTCAGTTGGGAATGAAAACTACAGCCACTCACGAGATCTCACCTCCGTCCCATGGGAGACTTCGCAGGGCAATCACAAGGCAGGACCATCATGTCCTGGATCTGGCTGACACAGGGAATATCTAACGACGATGCTGAGAGTTTGCAAGACAGTAAGTTTGCTGTCATTTAAATATGCTCATATCTAATCTGGGACTACAGTGCTTCGTGTCGAATGGTGCAAGGCCAGGGCACATCAAAACTGTTGGTCCGAGGAAGTCTGACTTTTGTTGGAAGAGATGCGGCGAGTTCTTGCTTTTTTCAACTGGCAGGTGCAATGGTGGGAGGACCGTATCAGTTTGCAAACACTGGCTAGGTTGGAGGAGACCAAGGGCTTAATTGCATATGCGAAGCGGCAGGCATTTATTCGACGCAGGCTGTCAGCATCATTCAGAGAGAAGTGGAAGGATGTTCCAGCGTTGGTGGCCACTGGGATGGGTATCAATTCGACGGGCAATGATGAGGACGAACATCTGTGCCTTGACATCCCTCCTCAAGAAGATTTAGTACACGATGATCATTATTAATTTTGTTGATAGACTACTAATACAACTTCTTTTGTTGGTACCTGAGTTATGAACTTGACCTTTGTTTGACTTAGTGCCGAGTACCTTAGATCTACTCAGCGATTTATGGTGATTGTTGATGGGGGTGGACAAATACTCACCTCGCCCGGTGCTGCGTCCGATAGAGAAATGCTCACCGGGCACAGCCACCAATGGATAATTGCACAGGAACGATGTATCTACGCATGGATAGCTAAACCGAAAGATGTATGGGGGTTTTTGGCTAATAAGCCAGTTAGATATATCTTTCCCCCACTAACAGGTGGATACGTACTTGCATTTGGGGGTCACTATTGGACAAAAAAAAATTACGACTTGAGTTGACCTGAATTTTCCTTTGACACAACAGCTCATAATGAATCACGGTGAATCATAGTGTATGATGACCTAGGCATGGTCAAAAACCTATGAAGGAAAACAAATGCAGGGACCTTAGTGCAAGATCGAGGACAAGATGTTTGTTTACATATCTTGATCTTGGTTTCACCTTCGTAAGGACCACTCCAGGTCTGCTTTTGGTTTACATAATCAGATTCAACGTGGACTTAGCAAGGACTTCGCACTTCTTTTGTCTTCTAAAGTTGGGCCAGGTGAAATTGACGTGGTCCTGCCACGCCTGCTGCAGTCGTGACCTGTCTGTGAGGCCCGACGCAGCATATGAGCGTCATCATGGGTGTGGTCCAGAGAGGGAGGAAAAGAAAATAGTAATTGGCTTATATACCTAGTTGTACATGTCCCTACAGCAAATAAAACAAGGCTACTACGTCCATTACCGAGTGATTAAGTACTGGCATGGATGCTCAGGCTGCTCACTGGTGCCCGCAAATACATGCAATACCTATTCAAACGATTCGTGCAGCTTACACCGAAATCAGACGACAGGTCAATACTGCCCTTCACACACATGGGAGATGCTGCTCACTTGGGAGCGCAGCGAAATGAATGTTTGAGGTTGCTGGAGCGCTGACACTCGTCCTGCACACCAAGGCTCTGCAACTTCTGCATAAGTACAAGCTCGGTCACAGGGATGAAAAGCGCGTTTCCCTTGATGGCTCGAGACAGTAACCCATCTGCGACATCGATGCTTGCTAAAGCCTAAGATCACAAGAACATCAGTGGGCCTTCTTATGAATGCACGGTAGCTTACCTCCATGGCTGCATAGTGTATGGCGATGGATCTCAATGAATTGGATCCTTTGCCTACGACATCCATGATAATGATGTCATAGCACCTGTTGTGAACGAGAGCAAGAGCAGCTATGAGACCTGCGGGGCCTGCACCCATGTTATGTTCTCAGGGAGAGACATTGTCTGCTTGGAGGATTTTGAGAATGATAAAGTGACTGAGACAATGCATTAGCGTCAGATAGCTTTTGCACCTCTAATGAAAGGCCACCAGTATACAAGTTATCTTAACCCATAGTGGTGAAGGATGATTTGCTATCGCGCATGAACTGCAACTGTCAGAAAATGTGGTCAATAACCAGACTGGACTTGGATTATGCGCTGCCCGAACATGGAGCTCAGTCGGAACATGGCACTAAGGTATCTGAAGGGATCCTTGTATTATCAGACTAATCAGTACATGTGTCGTAGTTAGTACATGGAGATTTCACAGACGCTACAACAGGTTCACAGTCCTGAGTGATTTCAGCATTATAGGAAGGGCTCTGGACCATTTCCCGCAAAGACGTTATCCACATGGCTTCTCCGAGGGAGTCTGAGGCATACGGGAGTATTAACATCGAGATGCGAGGTCTTGTTTGACAATGCGATTCAAAAATCAACGTCAAGATCGAGTTTGGAAGGTCAAACTAGAATTAGACTCCGACTTCTTCTTTGATCGTCTCTAATGGTGATTCACGATGATTCACTACTACTAAGTCCTTGGCCAGAATCAAAAGTATAAAACCAAGAGCGTGATTTTTGTCCAATACGGTCCCCCATACTTGCATAATGTGTATAATGTGTATTGCTTGTACAAACCTGTAGTCCTTGTGGTGTTTGTCCGCTTGTTTGCTTGTGCTTAGCAACTCGAAATTTTGAATTGCTTCATCTGTAAACTACAAATTTCCCCACAGACATCGACATTTTTGACAGTTTCCCACAGTAACCCACAGAGGGACAGCGCTCACAGCACATTTCTCCGGGGCATCAAATTTTTTCGACAGTAACCTACAGTAACCCACAGCAGGACAGCACTCACAGCACATTTCTCCCGGGCATTGAATTTTTTTCAACAGTAACCCACAGAGAGACAGAGCTCACAGGATGTACAGCCTCACAGTGTTTGTCAATAAAATAGCTACCTCGAGCGCTAGTAGTAGTAGTACCTGAAAGTACTTAGTAAAATTAAAATTTAACAAGCGGACCGGTCGCCTTAGGATGTTGCAGCTGTTTTACAATCAATTACAATAACAGTCTGTATACTACGCTCGCCGTTGTCTTCTCCTCACCTACATGAATTGGTTCCGCAGGATCAAACATTTCGTACTAGAAGTCACACAATTCAAGCGTCGAGATGGAACAAAATTTTATGTCCATATTTACTATACTACTAGCCTAGTACCAGTACTGCTAAATACAAACTATTTGACACAATTTGAAAGAAGGGACGAGGCATCAGTCCAACTGGATCGTTAGCTGACGGCAGGATGCGAATGAGTCTATGACGAGGTTAGTTGGTAGTGTATACATAATAAGAGTACTTACCAAGAGAACCGTGTGCTGGCTGATGTGAAAGACCGTGTTTTTTGAATGTGACACGCATATGGCCTAGTCCTACATCGGCCTTGTCAAGCTTCCGCTTGGAAATGACAGACTTGTATCTTGAAAGACTGGTCATGACCTCTTGCTCTCGCACGATGCAATCAGCAAGTTTTTTCTCCGCATTAACTATATCGCGTCGGGCCCTTGCGAGATCCATGATCAGGTTGGCTTCACAGTCGTCAACGTCATTGATGGTCTGTACACACGTTAACGAGCAGTGCCTAGTAAGAGTCAGATATCAGTCACTTACCATTGACCCAATAGCATTGACCACGTCGTACAAGTCAGCGATTCCGCTACTGGGAGGCTCACTAGAAGTTCGGCTCGCTTGCCACTTATTGGAGTTTTGCGGGCGCATATTTGACAATGATGGTACGTCACTAGAAATATTTAGGTGGATTGGTACGTTGGACATGGGTGTTTTGAGAATATGGCTTATTGATTCCGCAAGGGATTACTTACAGCTTTCTCGGAATCTCACGCGTCGATTGTACTACATATGACATTCCAGTGTCCTTCGTGCGGGAAAGGTGGTTTCAAGGATGATGTAGCCGTTGCTCGGCACATGAGCCAACCTCGCTCTGGCTGCAGTACATGGCTGCAGGATTTGATATGCTCGCACTCTGAGTCTGATATGGACGATGAACCTGTGAGTACTAATACTATGGATGACGGACCACATACTATTCCCGACATCGAGACTGGTGGTTTTGGAGATTGGGATGAGATGTTTGGAGGGAGTAGTAGTGAGCGCCAGGCTTACGAAGAGAGGACACCAACTCGTAACTCAGAAGTCATCGACTCGTATCCTGACTGCGCTCGATCATACGGCAGGGGCTACACGTTCCTCGATGTATTCAATTCAGACGAGAACAGCAGGCACCGTGCAACGAACCCGTATTATCCATTCAGTGGCCAGAAAGACTGGGAAGTTGGGTCATGGCTACTTCGCTCTGGATTAAGCATGGGGAAGATAGACAGTTTTCTTTCGCTCGACATGGTGAGTAATAAATTCTTTTTGATAACATACAATTTTTGAAGGTGTCTTCTTTAGATAAAGACCCTTCCGTTGTCGTTCCATTCGGCCAAGGAGCTGCGTGGCAGAGCGGAAATGTTGCCTAGTGGCCCGCGCTGGATGTCTCAAGTAGTACCTACAGCACATCCCACGAAATCGCCCATTGTCTTGTATTGGCGTGATCCCTTAGATTGTATTTCGGGCCTTCTCAACCACCCTGCCTTTCACGATCATCTAGACTTTACGCCTCGCAGGGTGTATAGCACTGCGCAGCGGCTGTGCCGTGTATATTCAGAGTGGATGACTAGTGATGATGCGTGGAATATGCAGGTACGTATAGTTTCATCTGTGCGAGTCGTCGTACTTATCGATTTTCGGACAGTCGGCCCTACCAAGAGGTGCAACACTCCTGGGGACCATCTTATCGTCTGACAAGACGAATATATCAACCATGACGGGTGACAGAGTTGCACACCCCCTTCTGATTAGTCTTGCCAACATAGGCATGTCCACGCGACTCAAGTCGTCTTCGAATGCCTTTGTGCTTACCGCTCTACTTCCCGTCCCAAAATTCATCTACAAGAAAAAACGCATGCGAGGCGTACTTGAGGATCGCCTCATTCACGAATGCTTAGATATTGTTCTCCGTCCACTCAAGCTGGCTGCTCGCGAAGGAGTCATGCTATCGGACCCTGTTGGACACAGTCGCTACTGTTTTACACCACTTGCGAGCTACATTGTCGATACCCCGGAGGCCATGATGCTGGCTGCTGTTGGCGGGAAAACCTCCCCAGTCACTACGGCCATGTACAAACAGTTTGGAGACCCTTTCCGTCATGAGCCTCGCACATGAGCAACTACACTCTCCCAGCTGGACATTGCGCGGAGTAAAGCTGATCCCAACGACATCGAGATATTTTTTTGCGAAGCACAGAAGTTTCGTTTGAATGGCGTGAATGCACCATTCTGGATGGATTGGGTCCTCAGTGATCCATCACATTTTCTCACTCCCGAATTTCTTCACCTCATTCATCGCGAGTTCTACGACCACGACGCAAAGTGGCTTATTTGCGCAGTAGGTGATACAGAGATTGACTTTCGGTTCTCTGTGTTGCAGGCTGTCACTGGGTTCCGTCATTTTCATGGCGGGATTTCAAAACTCAAACAGGTTACAGGACGTACTCAACGCGACATTCAACGCTCGATCGTTGCAGTCAGTGCGGATGCAATTCCTAGCGCAGTGATGACTGCTGTACGAGCTCTGATGGACTTTCGATATCTCGTACAGTCACCCATAATTGACGACATCCTACTCGCCCGAATTTCCACTGCACTTGATCATTTTCACGCTAACAAAGATGCTATTATAGAGGGTGGATTTCGTCGTGGTCAGCGTGGCGGCGTTATCGAGAACTGGTACATACCGAAGCTTGAGCTTATGCAGTCCATAGTTCCAAGCATAAGGAACACTGGAGTTCCTCTGCAATGGACAGCCGATACCACGGAGCATGCCCACATAATGGAAATCAAAAGTCCTGCTCGCTCGAGCAATAATAATAATTACGATCCCCAGATATGTCGCCATCTTGACCGTGCTGATAAATGCCGCCGCTTTGACCTCGCTATGAGTCTGCTCGACAATGTCCCAGACTCAGGGCAGCAGGATCCAGATGACGATGAGAAGGATGAGAATGTTGATTTCGACGTGGACGACGATCGCGATATCCCAGCAGACCTTCTTACGACAATGAAACACCCTGGACATTCACGTCCAATCACAAATTACTTCGGAATTGCCAAGGTCCTCCAGCACAGGGAAGTGGGGACAGTCCCTGTGCCAGTGCGCTCGTTCGTTGTCGAACGCACAGCGTTTCACCTCACCTACGATCCTTCTATCAGAAACATATCTGTTGACGATGCTGCCATCAAGTTTGGTCTTCCTGACTTACGACCAGCTATTGCCGACTTTCTTCGTCGTGAGGCTACTCATGGGAGGGATCACATACATACTATTGGGGGGGCTAGAAGAGCTGGACCTACTGCTTCACTTCCCTTCGACAAACTTCAAGTCTGGTTTAAACTTCGGGTGCAGGACACCGATTTCCACGATGCTAGCATCATACGGCCTGCGCAGACCCTCAATTGTGCACCTCCTTCTGATCCCTGGACATGTGGCCGGTATGACACAGTCATCATTAACAATGAGGCGAGGTACTTATGGCCAGAAGATGGTCTTCGTGGTACGTTATGATCTTATGTCACGCTGAATCTCTACTTATTGTCAAGTCGCAGGTCATACGATTGGCCAAATCAGGCTTATCATGCGTGCTGTTGGAAAAAGTGGCACGAATTGGTCATGGAAGGACCACTTTCTGGTTTACGTGCATCGCTTTGACATTGTTCCTCAAAGCTCCGGTGCTGATGATCGTGAGCCAAGTATGCAGCTCCACTTGCTCAAACGAGCGAAGCGTTCGAATGGCACTTGGGTGGGCGATGTCATACCTGTGACACAGCTCAGAGCACCTGTTAACCTTGTCCCTCGCTTCGGTGCAAGTGCGGACAACCGTCTCACCCCATATAATAGCATGGAACATGCTTCTCAGTTCTGGCTCAACAGGTATTGGGATAAGAATGTATATTTTCCCCTTTCCATGTAGCTTTTGGTGTAGCTTCCGTGCGACGTTCGTGATGGTTGAGTGGTCTTATCTAGCCTATGCCAGAAGTTATTCTAGTCTGTTTTATTCTTAGATCACCGAACTGAGTACTGAGTTTTGATGGGCGCTATTATGTGGCGATAAGCTCTCATTCTTTGTGCCATTATTGTCCGTGTACGAAAAAATGGCGTTCTTTTTCAGGACCGTTGACAACGGAATCAAATTGTCATCGTTGTTGTCTATCCCCGATGTCACCGACGTCCATACTATGAACAAGATCACCTCTGACGAGCTCAATCGTCTGGTCACTCACGAGGGTTCACCAAAGGCCTCGCAACCGCTGGGACACCTGCTCTCCAAAATATTTCAGTCTTTCACGGTTCCTCTTCCCGATGTATTCAGCCTTAAAATCCCATTCGGAAAAATCCTTTATCGCAACCAACGCATCAACGAGAAATTCAGCGGGACATCGCCCGATACTCTTGTGCCACTGTACGATACTGAAGCGAAGGCTTGGAACTGGGCCCTTCCAGTTGACCCTCCTAAAAATGCCAGTAGTAGTCGTTCGGGCGCAGACTCAGAGGGCGAGTCAGAGGGCGAGTCAGAGGGCGAGTCAGAGGGCGAGTCAGAGGGTGATGATATGCAGAAAGCAACTCACGAAGAAATCTTTGCTGCGTTTCTCAATGCTCTGGCTGGCTGCTTGGCAGCGTTGCAGCCCAAACTAGTAGAAATGCGCTTTGCAACCAGCACATGGAGCGCAGCCAGTGCACAGAAGGCATTACCTGGCAGCGACATCAAGCGCAAGCCAGATCTCGTTCTATCTGACGATATATCGGCAAAGTGGGGGAACATCAGGGTATCAGCCGAACTCACTCACAGTCGATACCGGCCTGCGATGCGACTCGGGAAGGCTGCAGATACTCATGCCTATATTATGATGAGTGAACAGCCATGGAGGCGCTTTGCTCTCATATTATCATTCACAGATGAATATCGCCACCTTAGAGTCCTAATGTATGATCACTCTGGTGGCGCCGTGTCTCCTCGCTTTGATATTTACCAACAACCGGACATATTTTCACATATAATCGCTGCCATCAATTTCGGGAGTCTAGAGTGCGTCGGCTATGATCCGACAGTCTCATTCTCAAAGATTGTTTCACCACCCCGATTCAAAGATATCAACTGCTATCGTCCCATTAGAAACGCTCCTGCCCGACCAAGTACGACGGACTGTACTGTTGCCGTATCCACTTCCTCCCTTCCATTTCCCGAGGATCCTGATGGAGTGTCGTCCAGTGATGCCCTTGAATCAGTAGTCGCTAGTGACTCTAGTGACTCTGACTCGACGGAAGAAGGTCCGAGCGGTTCCGCTACACATTACTCGATGGACGAAGAGCATTTCCCACCCCCCTCCCTCCCAGTGCACCCCACTGCAACCCGTAGTGCTCCCCTTCTCAGCCTCGCATCTCAAATGCCCCAGGCTGAGATGACCGAGAGCATCTATTCTGTCACCCCTCTCCCTTCCCAATTCCCTTACTCTGCTCAATCACCTGAACCTTGCGGTAAAATCCGTGTAGGGCAGAAGGTCTACACTATAAGAAGAATCATTTTTGCGAGCCGAGGTCTTGTTGGTCGCGGAACCGTTTGCTATTTGGCAACTTTAGACGATGAAGACTACATAATAAAAGACCATTGGGTTGTAGGCAAGGACGACAATGTAGTCTTGAACGAGATCAAGATGCTGGAATTGATGGATGGCCTCCCTGGCGTTCCAAAGCTGGTGGATCATTGGGTCGTTGAACAGTCAGATGGTGATCCCGATGTTACCCGAAAATATCGGCAGAAAGAACGCCGGAGTACCAGGGGCACTAGTCGTACTCATGTACGTCTTGTCTTGAAGCCATGTGGTCGCCCCCTTCACATGTTCCGAACACTGAAGGAGTTTGTGCGGGCACTAAGGGATATCGTTAAGAGTAAGTTTTTAGTACTTTGGGGTACAGGTGTCTTGGACTGATACTCTTTGATGTTAGTTCAACAAGCTGCGGTGGAGGAACGTCAGATTTTGCATCGGGACTGTAGTCTCAACAACGCGATGATCCTAGACGAACCTGAAGGTAGTGAAGGGTTTCTTATTGACTGGGAGTTTGCCGTTCGGATTGCCTCGGATCATAAATATCCTATTGGCGGTACAGTAAGTACACCTTATTCATTAAATATTCAGTTCATTAATTGATTTGCCAGGGCACAGTCCCTTTCATGTCACGCGGACTTCTCAATCAATATGCGGTCCTGCAGCAGGAGGCGGACCTGGAATCGAAGAGGAAGAAGACGGCGAAGAAGAAAGAGACTCGGGGACGCAATTCAGTCGACAAACCAAAAACCCCGAAATCATCCTCTGATTCTCTGGCGCTACCTGTATCATACGTCATCCAAGGCTATGCGGATGACCTGGAGTCCCTTTTTTTCGTGTTCGCTTGGGTTTGCATCAAGTTTTGTGGTCCCAACGGTATGGTGCGGGAGCGCTTGCCCAATTCGTTGGTGGATCGTTGGACCAGCCTTGACCTGGGATCGTGCGCAGCCTTCAAGATCACCTTTTTCGCTTATCCAGGAGAGGAAAAGCATCTCACAGACCAATTTCACCCATACTTCAAGCAGCTGATCCCCCTCGCAGTAGAGTGGCGTAGAGTTCTGGTGGACAACATGATCCACCCCGTTACCTTCGACACCATTCTCGCTGTACTCAACTCTCATCTCGACAAACTCCCCGACGACGAGGAGCTCGTATCTGCTGTGGACATGCTCAGGAATGATGCTGCCATTCTCACGAAACATGTTAAGGGCAAACGGATTGCTTCAGACCCTCCCTCTGTAGTAGCACCCAAGCGGCAAAAGTCTCATCATAGTGATACCGAGTCTGACTCAGCATCGGGCAGTGACGCATGACCAGGAGGTGAAGCCTACTCATTACACATATTCAGCTATTTTTCTTCTTCACTGACTTAGTATGAATGACATGTTTAACTTTAGCAGTAGTATTTCTAGAATCTCGCTGGCTTGTACTATTAGTATGTTGCGTTTTTACTATAGTTCACTGACCGGTACCTATGATATTGTTGTTCTGACTATATCATTCTTTTTCAAGCTTTTTTCAAGCGTTTATCTTTTTACAATCAAGATACTAGTAGTACGCCAGGATCTGATATAGTATCACTACTAGTAGGTTCTGGTACGATTCATGTTATGTGTAGCATTTTTGCTTACGTGATCGGCAATTTCTCTTATGAGTACCATTACCAACGACGAAGGTTTTTTCACGCTAGTCATGCGAATCGATTCGGAGTACGACGTGATAGTAACAATCCTCATGGTGGTATGTTTCTTTATTACTATCATTCTTATTAATGATAAACTTTTCTCTCGCTACCCATACGGCTATTAAGTATTAGTACACGGATGAGCCATGGTATAAAATCATCGTAAGTCTGGGATAATTTATCAGAGTCACTTCTTCCTCTGTTCTTCATTACAGTCATGCCTCCTCATGCCATCGCCAGTCCTAAGAAGAAACGATCTGGCAAGCGCAAAGGATCCGATGCTTCAAAGGCCGGCTTGCCAAAGAAGTCTCGGGCTGCAGACATTGCTGAGGTACCCAGCACGGTACCCCTCGTGTCCCTTGGCCTGACTGGAGCAGAAGCGGAACAAAATGCTCCCCGGCATTCTGGTCGCCCTAATGCGGGAACTGGAGGTAGGAATGCACAACTGGAGAAGATTGGATCAGTATTGCAATCCAAGCCTCGGACTCAAGAACGTAAGGGTACAACGTCCCTTGGTCTCAATGTTCCAGTCAATCCTCAAGCCCCAGAACCGCGTCGTAGAGGTCGAAAGAATCATTCAAAGGTAGGCGTCCAATTAATTCTGTTACTCATATTGATTGTTTCGTAGGCAGTTCCTCCACCCTACAGCTCACTCGTTAGGGATGCTCCAGATGCCCCAGCCAAGGACATTATCGCCACAGGGCCCAGCTTTACATCCCAGCAACCTGGTGGAAGGTTTGGATTTGTTGCTCCAACAGAAATAGCTCATTCCGGTACTGCCCAGCCCAATATTCAGGCATTGCACAACCCGCATGTCACCATTGGGGCGAAGGACGCTGAGCAGCGCACTCGGGACGCCATTGCCGAGCAACGAGCTCGAGATGCCATTGCCGAGCAATGAGCTCGAGATGCCATTGCCGAGCAACGAGCTCGAGATGCCATTGCCGAGCAACGAGCTCGAGACGCCATTGCCGAGCAACGAGCTCGAGACGCCATTGCTGAGCAACGAGCTCGGGACGCTATCGCTGAGAAGCGAACTCGGGATGCAATTGCTGAGCGACATACCCAGAACGCTGTCTCTGAATATCCAGTGGTTTTGCCAAGGTCCGTCTTTCGGGAGGAGAATTTAGATCCAGCCCTACGTCAGCATGATGACACTGTTAGGGCTCAGCGTCGTCTGACGTCGTTTGAATCTGATGACAGTGACTCTAAAGACTGTAGCAGTGATGACAGCAATGATAGCAATGATAAAGATGCTGATGAAGAGGACAGCGGAGAGGATGACGAGGAGGAGGGGGGAAATGATGATACGGTCAAGAGCTCACAGCAGTTTGGTTGGGGGGAGGCTGGCCGACGCCAGAAAGAACACCCAGGTACACATTCTCGTCGTGTGATTTCGCTTCACTAATTCAATGTTATAGGGTTTGTGGAGGATGTACCACCTTCGCAATCTCCAGTCGCTCGCCCTCTCACACCTGAAATTCAGTTCCAGTACTCACGCGATGAAGATGATGTAGTTGCCCAGACGAGCCTTGATAAAACCTCGGTAAGTTTTCTGCTCAAGCCGGGAGTAACTCTCATTTTATATTGTTAATCCAGCGGAACGAAAGCTCTCAGGTATGGCCATATCGTTCAATTGTATCATGCTTACCATTGCCTTTCTTTCAAGGACCCTCCGGATATCTCACCAGGACCGCGGCGGCAAGCATCCCAACACATTGAGGTGAGATCAGGGAGACCATTTTAATTGACACTCACCATCGAGCAGACCATCACCTCGAAGCCTGACGATGTACTACAACACCATCATAAGAAAAACGGAAAGCCCCGTCTTCCTGATCCTGAATCCCTCGAACTGCTGAATCAAGTGTCCGAGTGTGATGTTCAGCCATTGAAAAACAAAAAGTCTAGGTCATCGCGTGGTGGGCCAACACCCGATCAATTATCTTGGTACGGACCACGCTGGAAAAGTTTCTTGGAGGACGCCAAAGTAGAATGTCGCGCGCAACACGCCCTGGAGAACCCGTTTCCAACTTTGGTGAAGAATCTTCCAGGAACAATCACTGAAGTTCTCATTGCAGTATTGGTTGTGTGGGATACGAACGGTAAACAATTTGAAGCTGGTAGGCACTTGTTCGTTCTCATTCGTTCTCGAACTAATATGTCATATTCTGATGCAGGGGTTTGGCCAGAACACAAATTTAATATGACTCGGTTGGTGCGTGCATAACTGACTTTGTGCCAATATCTCGTTGACAGTCTGTATTAAAGCTGTACGACGATCTTTCGACTTGGCGATCTGACTTGAAGAAAACAGCCATAAGCATTGCACCAGTATCATATTCGCTTATTCCTCCGCTTTCTGTCCCCGTTCAGGAACGTGCTGCTTGGGTCGAGCACACTGCTGCTGAATTGATCAAGGAAGCATTCTTCTTACGCTTTGGGGTGGACGATCAGGTAAGTGATCTTGTGGTGATCGCAACTCTACTGATGGAAGATTTCTAGGGGAGAACACGAAACTTCGCTCATCCCGCCCTTCGTGAAGCCGTCATCACATTCTTTTACACAGGACCATATCGAATTGCACGAAGGATGCCGGAGACCTTTAGCACGGAATTGCCACTCTCATGTTTGGCTTTGGTTGCTGCGGCGGTAATTTCGTCTCCCTCGCCAATGTCATGTGTTAATTTTCTGTCTTGAAACTAGTTCAATTGTGTCTTCGACGGTCTTGTGAAAAATGGACATGGGAAGTCATACCCAAACTTTTCCACCAAGGACTACGGCCCCATCTATTGTCGGATGCTCGAATTGCTCAAACATATCCTTGAGGATGCGTATCATGGGCCTAGGCTGTCAGCTCAACTGCGAGAATGGGCTGCAGCGGGATGGTGAGGATCTTTTCTCTCTGATAATTTTTTTACTGATTTTCATTTGTACAGGGCTGCAGCTATGAATCTCGAAGGAGTTGTTGATGCCAGACACGACCACCTGCAGATTCTTCTTGACTAAAAGCTTCGTATTCCCGCTCCCCAGTTTATATCAAGCATTTATCGTGTTTGGCGCACATATCATTGTATTTACTGTTTGTCGTGGTCATGTGATTCAATATATTGGTTTTGTTTTTTTGTTTTAAAATTTTTGTGTTGTCCAGTGTGTGTAAGCAGTACAGCGAGCAAATGTCTGTACAGCTCCGGGTCTCTGAGTGCTCTGTGGGTGTCTGTACAGAGATGGACAGCGAAAAAATTTGCAATTCAAGTAGATTTTCGTAATTACTGGGCGGTCTGTAGGTGTCTGTACAGAGATTCACAGCGCAAGGTGTCGCTGTGATGGACTGGCTAATTGGGACCAAGCTGTAGCGCTTGCACGCTGTACAGCGCTGTACAGCGCTGCACAGTGCAAAGTGGTTTACTGATGTTGTATGTCTGTAATACCTTGTATAGTTTGTGTAGATTTGTTGTTCGTGTGAAACCTGTCACCAAATTAGTAGTTTGCTGATGTTGTTTCCCTTCAGCGGCATTGGTAGGAAACATAATAGCGGCAGGAACTCCCTCCGTCTGCTACTGGTTACTGATTAATAGGGAGATCAGGAATGCGCGGCACATGGCACTTAATATATCGACTTGCATAGCATATGGCATCAAACACACGCTTTAAGGTTGAGGACTCTTGCGCACACCTCATGGCAAAATTTGCGTGATGGGCGGTTGTAGTATCCGGTGACTGATCACCGCAGTTTCAAATATAACATCATCCCAGTCACCGGGTGCATGCTAGTACTACTACTTCCGCGATCGAATTGGAACAAGGCTCAATCCATGAATAGTTTGCTACTGTGATGTCGAATCATAGCCGTTACGTTTCAAGTCCAGCTACATAGAAGAATTGTTCATCAAATTTGCTGTGCAGACTCGGAAAAGGTACTTGTAATTCGTTATGACATATCAACTATAATTGGTGGATGGCCTGCTAGTATGTAAAGGGCCTCAGCTGAACATGAGGCTGGACAAGATACTCGCACCCTGATCCTTGATACTTACACCCCCAAGACTCCACTTGCTATGGCTTCGAGAGGCATGCCACTGGATACTGCTGCTATATTTTCAACCGTGATGGAAGGAATCTTATATGGTGGGTACCATCACAGTGGATCTGTCCGTCCCATTCTCACCAAGCTAGGGTTATTCAGGCTTTTCGGTCCTCATGTTTGGGGGTACCATGTGGGCATTGACACACAGACGTCGTATGAAGGAGATTAATCGCATAAATACTGCGGTGGCATTCATGCTGCTGATACTGAGTACCGCAGTAAGTTTCTCGCCTCTTGCATCTGGTATCATCCAGTATTCAAATCTCCCGAGCACATGATAGTAGACATCATTCGTATCGAAGAGGGTTTAGTCACCTATCGCGACACATTTCCAGGGGGACCAGCGGCATTCTTTGCAGATGTTACCCAAATCACATTTGTGGTCAAGAATATAATATATACCATGCAAACAATGCTTGGCGATGGAATGGTGGTGGGTTCAATTTCTATCCTCCAGATTGAAGTTGCAACCCTTTTGGCTTATGAAATGTCTTTTCCGGCCAAAGATTTATCGCTGCTACATTGTTTGGCAATCTGTGTGGGTCATTATTGTACCGAGTTGCTTGTGGCTCGGTATCACAGGTCAGGTCACAATCATGTTCAGAAAGTCGTACCTCTGATGTCCCTGCAAAGTGTGTGGCATTTGTGCAGTCTACAGTGTCTCAAAAGCGACTAACCAGGCTGGAAACATCTTCGCCAAAGCAACTGGTCAATGGATTACGGCCTTCTATGCCATGACACTTGCAAGTAATTTATTGGCTTCAGGTGAGTACAAATTGTACCTGGATACTCGAGGCCTAAGACCAATTTATTCAGGATTTCTGGCATATCGGATCTGGAAGATGGAACGTGATATATCTGCAGTTCGCACTTCAAATAACTCCATGATGCCGATCGTGCGCGTACTTGCGGATGCCGCTATTCTGTACTCTGTGACGCTTCTATCGGCATTGGTGTGTTTCGTCGAAGGTAATAACGGACAATATGTTGTACTAGACATGGTAATTTCCACTATCAACTCCTTTTTATCGAAGATAACCAAGCTTTGGCTACCTAGATTATGCCGATTATCTCTATTGCATTTTACATGATTATTATCCGGATGGCAATGAAGACAACAAGTTACGGTCACATCTCGACTGCCAGGATGGGTAGTAACGAGACGGCACGAGAGACTCCACAACAATATCATATGATGCGTATGCCAGTGGAGGTGCACATATCCCAAATCACGCACCAGGATGAAACCTCCAAATCGACATACTGAAAAATTAGTTTTGATCATCAACGTTTGGTATTGTACTGCTTCTGGACGCTATTTGTATTTAATTTGTTGGATATGATTATATGTTTCACTCGCCAGGCTATCGTCAATGGATCGTTGAAGATAACTTATGTGCACGCGCTCGGTCTGACCTCTTGGATTTTGTGACCCAACTCGTTGATGGTATGCCTCTCATATTACTGTTCTATCTGACACAATGTTCGAATCAATTAGGTTTCAATTGGAACTGGGTATCAAGACAAGTACAGTAAGGTAAGATGTAAGGAATGAGTGCTATAAAACAATATAATGACTGGAATCGGCCTCATTGAAGGAGGATCGACAGACTTACTCACTACGAACGGCAGACAACAGCTTGGATCACCGTGGCTCGAGCTTGAACGAGGATCGACACTCACTCACTGCAAACGGCGAGCAACAGCTTGGATCAGCATGGCTCAAGCTCGAACGAGGATCGACAAACTCACGTCCTGCAAACGGTGGCCGACAACTTGGATGAGCATGACCGTTGCTCGAACGAGGACCAACATACTCACGAACTGCAAACAGTGGGCAAAGACTTGGATCAGCATGGTCATTGCTCGAACGAAGATCGACACACTCACGTCCCGCAAACGGTGGGCGAAGACTTGGATCAACATGGCCGTTGCTCAAACAAAGATCAACACACTCACGTCCTACGAACAGTGGGCAAAGACTTGGATGAGCATGGCTGTTGCTCGAACGAAGATCAACACACTCACCACCAGGCCTGCAACAATAGCCCCAGCGTATGAGTACTGTCGAGGATGAATAAAATTATGTCAGAAACCTCCGTTCTTGAAAATGAATGCAACTTCAATGTTCACCTCTAGCGTTCTGACGTCTGCGCTAGAAAAAGCGCTGTCCTGGCCAATCAACCTCGACACTCGTGAGTCAGACTCGAATTTAATTGAATAGTTTGGTTTCTCCAGGAGACTCGTCGAGCGAATTGTACCTCGCATCCATCATGCCCTGCTCAGAGGCGCAGACAAACGAGGCCTGTCTGTTGAACTGGCGATGCCGGTAAAAATGTATCAGCTAGTCTTTTACAGTGAGTAACACATCTTGAACGTTGAACTCCGTTTGCCTTGATCTCATGCCTAATCTTCGACACGCCTCCATTCGACTTCTAAGACAAATCTATGCAGGCTGGAATTGGAGTCCGCGAAACGACGCGTGGCGCTCTTAACTTGAGACCAAGTTATACGCGTTTGATACAAACAAATGCAAACAGAACATAAGCGCCAAAACATAAAAACTGGCTTCTCTCCAATTTACTAGACCAGCAGCCACGGCGAGGATCCATGACGTTCTCACCTGTTCGTATCACGAACGTCCCTTCCATCAAAAATGCACCGTTACTTGGTCTAGCGGAAGGCAACGGTTATTTCTCAAATGTTCAACTCGCCGCTCTCGTCGTCGTCATACCATGGGTCATCAAACGCATCCTTCCCTTTGTAAACCGTGGCGGTCTCAAAACATATATCTTCATTCTCGTCATCACAGGTATCCCAATTACCGTCGGTTATTGGGCCATAGCGAGCATTTACGGCCGTCGTAAAAACGTCAAAGTCCTTATGCCTGGTAAAGACCTCGAAGACTATATCACTATCAATGACCCGGAACTGAAGGAAAAATACCACGGCAATACAAAAATCCCAATGCAGGTCTTCCACGACGCGTACTTTGAGGGCAAGATTGACTTTAACGGTAATATTCATTTTTTACGTGTCTGCTATGATGCTCAAACGTGTACAGGCGACGTGTTGGACATCTTGGAAGACCGTCACGATTGGGCGAAAATGGCCATGACGCCTGAACTTTTCAAATACGTCTTCACGAATCTCCTTCCAGAGGTTATCGTTCACTCTCAATCTCAAGACGAAGAACAGGTTCGCGACCACTACGACAGTAGGTTTTCCTCTACTTTTTCAATCACTCTACTCACTCCAACCATGCAGGAGGCGATGACTTTTACTCATGGTACGTACCCTCAACTCAACTCAACAATGTTCTTTCTAATATCCCACAGGTTCCTCGGTCCACGCATGATCTACACCTCCGGCGTCATCACGGATGCCAACAAAGACGCATCCCTCGAAGAGCTTCAGGACAACAAGCTCCGCCTCGTCTGTTCCAAGCTGAACCTGAAACCTGATGACCGTCTCCTCGACGTCGGTTGCGGCTGGGGTACACTCGCAGCCTACGCGGCAAAAAACTACAAATGCGACGTCACAGGCATCACCCTCGGCAAAAACCAGACCAAGTTCGGTAATGAGCGCATCAAGACCAACGGTGTTACCCCCGACAAGGCTCGTATCCTATGCATGGACTATAGGGATATCCCAGGCGGCCCAGGGCACTTCACGAAGATAGTCTCTCTTGAGATGGCAGAGGTAAGCACTGCGTACTCTTAATATCTCCACGTCTAACGTTCAATAGCACGTCGGAATTAGGCGATACGGTTCATTTATGCGTCAAATGTACGACCTCCTCGAAGATGACGGCATCTTCGTCCTCCAAGTCGCCGGTATCCGTCCTTCGTGGCAATACGAGGACCTCATCTGGTAGGTGTAGTTGTCGTCTGGCATATCATACGCTAACACCACGCAGGGG